ATGACCAGATACAAGCAGGGCACGAATCACAAGTACCACACGCATTACACCACCACCACAGTGGAGTCATAAGCACTGAAAATCCAATAAGGAATGTCAGACTCACCGTCTTCTTCGCGATCCTGGCCTTTTGCAGCTCGTACTCGAGCCACGACCACTGGCCAGCGGGGTCCTCGTCGTGCACGCGGTTCTCGCGAACCTCCCAGGGCTCGCGCACCACGCCGGCCACGCCCTCCCGGCTGCGGCGCGGCTCGCCCCAGGCGTCCCGCGAGGACGCGGTGGACCTGCCGGGCTCCAGCCAGAGGTTCGTGTTGAGCGCAACGATCCTCAGCGGCTTGCTCTTCTGTTCGATCGTGTAGTAGCCGCCTGCGTGTAAAATAACAAGTTAAGTCAATCCAACACTGATCACATACACTTTCTTATTCCCTAATTCATGTAACTCCAAGTTAAGTTCCAGCGAAGAAAATTGTCCACGGTGGTCAGTTCAATTTCAATAAGAAAGAAGTCCGAGTTTGAGTTAGTAAAGGGTCTTATAAGAAGGCTAAAACCACCCATCTTTTGGTGCAGCAAACTCACCCTTGTAGAAGGTCGGCATGGCCTCCTCGGGGAGCCAATTCCTCCAGATCTCGGCGGCCTGCTTGTAGTGGTCGGCGTGCCGCACGTCGGGCCCCAGCACGGGGAACACGAACTGCGAGGTGAAGGCCCTGAGCAGCAGGGACGTCACCGTCATCGCCGTGGACGAGTCGTGACCAGTGACGGGGCCAGCCCTGCAGCACAAACACGGGACAAACACCATAACATTATACCTCGAGAGTTAAGACATTCACACTCTGAAATAAACTGTATAGGATAGTTGGGTGGCTTTGGTGCGCACTGATCTGGTTGGGGCCGTTTTGAAGTGTCAGCCAACTATGTAAGTCGTCTTCCCACTGGACGCCATGTGCCAAGGATTTACAGCGTAGACTAGACTAAACGATATGACACGTCGTGTTTAAATAACACGCTACCTAGTTAACACGTAGCAATAAACGCATCAAAAGCCGACGCTTCTCTTTTCCTTTCCGTGTCGTTTGGACGGGTCGTTACATAAAACGCCGAACAGCTGGATCAGCGGCAGAAGCAGACCGGCAAATGACCGGTCAGACATTACGGAGAGCATTTACATAAAATCGAACCACGGGTGGAAACGATTAGAATGGGGAGGGGTGGGTAGGAGAGGGACCCAAACGGAGGGGAAAAAACGTAAATAAATGAATGGCTTCATTAGTGTCGATAATTATTTATGTCGGGGTGCCGAACCCTCTCCGCCCGCCGCTGCGTCACAGCACAGCCAGAGGACGCGACAGGGAACGCAGGAATTCACGTGCCAATGAGATGCCAGCTCTACAACCGTAACATTGTCTCCTGGCTGGGAGAACAAGGGGGTAGGGGGCAGGAGAGACAACCTCCCCCAGACCAGCTCCACCGGAATGGCTCGGGACCGACCGCGACGACAATGGCCAGAGTCATCCGCGGCGGGCATTCCATATGCAGGCGAGGGATGCCTCAGAGATGCCATTGCAATGAGAGAGAAGGGGAGGGGGCAGCGAAAGAGGGGCAGCATTCATGGTCCGGCACACACATGGCGAGTCATCGGGATCGTCGCCAAACGGACCAAGTATTCATGTAATTTACGGACATACCCCTCCCACCCCCACGGTCTCTTGCAGCAAGCACACGGGTGGTGAATCAATGGCGCCCCGCTGAAGTGGAGAATCGCGAATTAAAATAATAGCAGCAGCTGCAGCATCACGGCGCGCGCTATCAGGGCAGGCGGCGGGAGGGGGGGACTCCCTCGGGTGCGATAGATACACGCGGCGGCGGCGTACCCCTTTTGCTTTCGCGGGGCGTGGCGGACCACTGCAGCCCCCCCCCCCCCATTCTTTACCACTCCAGCAGGTGGAACTTATCTCCCTCGAGGACAAAGCGAACGCGATACATTTTACTGCGCCGCTGGAGAAGGAAGAGCATGCTGGAGGCTGGAGCGTCATGCATGCTCCTGGTTCTGGCGGCTCGCACACGGCGTGTAAACCCGTCAACACCCGGCAAGGCATATTGCTGCCGTGTTTATCGCAACTGAAAAGTTAGTCGATTGCGGCTACCAACGGCGCCGCCCTGCCAGCTTGCCAACGCCGTGTCCTGTCGCCGCGCGCGCTTTCTCTGGCGCCAGCCCTGCCTCTCGACATTGTCTTCTGTTGAGCGCCCGCCCACTTCCCCCCGCCGCCGTCGTCAGGGATCGTTTACACGCGCTCAAATTACTTTCATTTCCAAGAGAAACCCGAGTCACACGTGCATCTCTCCGTATCGCGCTCGGCAGCAGCAGGCGACCTCACGCACCTCCCCCCCCCTCTAGCAGCCCCACGCTCGCACGGAGGTAAGGTCGAGGTGGTGGCAAGAAAAGACCAGAGGGGGGGGGGGGCTTATGTAACTGATACTGATGTGGTCCCATCCGATCAGGCGAGGGTGTCGTGGGCGTGTTGTTTTAGAGGGTGGGCCGGGCCGAGTCAGGCCACGCGTCATATGAGGAAAAAGTAAAGGTGTATGAGCCAGAAATAAACCCGCGGAAAACGAAAGATCGAATGTTTTAGAAGTAAATAAGAAGTAGAGAAGTCTGATCACAATATCGCTTTCAATATTTAGGAAATATTTCGTGTTTATAGACGGTTTGGGCGAAACACGTTTATAGAAGGTCTCGGTGGGCAGCACTAAATGTTATTTTCTCTTACCCGGTCCACAGGACGAAGTCCACTTCCTTGGCGATGTCCTTCATGGCGGTGGTGGCCGACTCCAACAGCGACAGCGGTGCGTCGCAGTGCAGGTCACCAAACTTGCCGTCCGGACGTCGGCTCTCGCCCATACCCAACACATTGCCGTTGCCACTCCACCGCCGGCAGTCTGCAAAAGAGAGAAAACGAGAGAGGGTGAGAACGAGCAAGTGCGTTCTGCTGCGGTGTGTTCTATTTTTCGGCTTAAAAAACATAAGAAGCAGTACGTCTCAGTGGTTGCTGAGCTTGCGCAGGCGTGGCTGTGTTCAAAAGCAAATCTTATATTTTTTTAATAACTTCTCAGAAGTGGGCTAAGTACATGGCAGGCGTTTACCTCAAGTTATAAAGAATGAGACACAGTATCGCAACCAATGTGACACGAGTCACAACACAAAGCTACAGTTTTGTAATCAGTGTACTTAATAGTTGTTTTGCGTAATTTATGTATGCAATGTTAAAAATTTTGTTGTAAATGTACAACACTTTTGATGTAAAGTTTGATAGCAACAAATGTTGTTGAAAAGCAACACATGTTGTAATCCAACAACATTCACCAAATTTTCATTCTAAAACATTGGTTCTTTACTTCCTCCTGCACCAAAAAATTGTAATAAAACAAATTTGTTCGTTCTGTTACGATACATCTGGCTATCAAAATTTACAACGGTTTTGTTGTGGTTTTACAACATGTTGAAACGTAGGAATCATTGTTATGGACCACTACGGGCGAAATAGAAGGAATCTGGCCACGTATTAATACAAACAAACGATGTTTTTTTTTTTTTAACAAACTATTCATTACAAAGGGTGTGATAATTTGAAAATATTTTTAAACAGTGGCGCATATAGGTTTTCGTAGCTTATGTTTTGTAAAACCCAGTCGAGGACCCATACACTCATCGCAAATAGCTAAACTTCCCTGAGGATTCGAGGTAACGATTGTTCCATAATTTGTCTTTACATACGCGAACACCTCTGTCCCGAACGCCACCCGCGCCCTCTTTTGTTCCAACTAGAGCGCACAGACACCGCAGCGAATTAAAGCGGGGCGAGCGGCTCCCGCGGGTCACTTTAATCGGATCCCTTTTTGTCACAAGCTCGTTGCGTTGCCATTTGGCGTCAAAATAATCCCCGTCCCCTCCAACCCCCCGCGCCCCTGGCCTCATCCCCCGGGGAGGGGGATCCAGCGCCAGGACCAACCCAAAGCGCTGCTGATGGACGTACAGGCGGGATGGGGTAGGGGTGGAGGAGATGGGGAGGCGTGAGGAGGGGTCGGGGGTGGGAGCTGCAAAATGGGACCGTGGCCCTGGTTCCACGCGTCGCTACCCCCGGGGGGGCCGGCGGGCGCTGGCTGAGTCCTACACAGCTTCCTCTTGAAAGCCCGGATGCTAATGTTTAGAGATCCATTTCCAAGCTCCCGTGACCGCCCTGGCGGAGCCCTGGCGCCCCCTCTCCCCCTGCTGCTCCGCCTCCGAACCCTATCCGCTTGCTTGGCATGATAATTTATGGATGACCCCGAACTGCAGGAGCATAGGATGGGATGAGTCGCGCTCAGCCAAGACGCGGGCGTGAGAGAGGGAAAGGGGGTGGGGGTTAGGGGGCAGAGGGGCCGACGGGCCATCTCTCGATGCATTAATTCGACATTTGTTTCCCCGGAGCTTCGTTTGCCGGATGTGAGTGCCCGTAAATCCAGCAGGGCGAGAGGCGCGGCACGCGAGGCGTGGCGGGCGGGGCGGGGCGTGGTGCGACGGGTGGTTTACCACCTCCAGACTACACTTCTCAGATCCCGTCAGCACTAAAACCCCCAAAATTCTTAGTATGTCTGCATTGGTCACGTGCGAATAATACTTCCGTAAACACACAGTATACTTTTACATTTGATACATTTTTGTATTTTTAGTAGATGCTACACTCAAAATCATTTTTATTTAATTTATACTGACACTCTAATGTTATGTGTGTATGAATGCTTGTGTATGATTTCTCGTGTAGGCGGCCAAACCTTGTGACTGCCCCACCTAGTGGCCTAGTGGTGCCATTCTTGTAGCACCAGTCCACCAGCCCGACCATACCCAACAATACTGGGCTGGGCCTTCCCGCGCTCCACTCTCTCGACTCTGTCCCTCTCCCCTCATGTACGGCACTAGGTGATCGGGATTGCACTTCAAAAATTTCAAAACATTAGAGAAAATTAGAGCACAACCCTCTCCTTAAATGTGTTCACCATTTGCTTTTAATCACCGATATTTGATTGATATTTTTAGCCGAGTTACTGAGCGCTTCATCAATCATACATTTGAAAAAACAAGAAGTCAACTTGCGTCACCTATTCACCTATATCACAAAAGTTTCACGAGGTTCCGCCCACAAAACACATCCATTACTTAGGCACACCCTTCGTTCTGCTGCGGTACATTGTAATCCTACCGCGCCAACTCCTACCGAGTTGCGCGTGAGCCTGCAGGCTATGAGTATGAGTGCCTCCGTAAAATAAATGTTTTACGAGTATGAGAATATCATATATATATTTTTTCTTGCATAGCGGATTACTTTGTCAGCCTCACACACTATTATTATATAGTAATCATAGAAGAGGGTAA